TACAAAAACATGGCAAGTCGGGCAATTCCACACACATTATGAACATTTAAAAATTCATAAATTTTAAAATTTGTAAAAGACATTTTTCCCTATGGAAACTATTTTGCATGGAGGCAACCACTCTTCATCACTAAATGAAGAGAAAGCCTCAAGTTCTTCCTCCTGAATTCTGCTCTCATCTGTCATAGGCCAAAGTTTTTAGTTTATAATTGTGGATCATTCTGAAATGAGAACAAAATTAAATGTTAGAAAGTCTAATTACTAATTTGTGCACGGGGGATGTTTAGCTATAACTATTGCATAAATTATAATAAATAATACAGGTGCAGTAAAAATAATAATAGATAAAGAAATAAAAGAAGTCTGTGGCAATTTTACTTAATTTTAATAGCAGTAATTTAAAAAAATAAATAGTACTATATCTATTACTATTTAAGTATTTCTTAAAATTAAATCATGAGTTGTGAATTACAGACTTAGCCACAACCAGTTTAAATGGTTTAAAATAATAGCTAAAGGCTAAACCCTCTAAAGAGTATAAAAAGCAACATGGGAAATTCCAAAATATAGTGTATGGCATTGCCCCACTCTATAGGTGTGGAATCGCCCCACATCTACTATTAAGAAAAATATGCATTCCTGTTCTAAATTATTAAATTAACTGCTAAATCTAGCATCATTAATTGTTACCATTATCATAAATGAGTAAGCTTTCATAAAATCACTAAATAATTGACAACAATTAAAAATAAGACAAAATAAACTATTTTTTTAAAGTGCAGGGGTTGTACTTACCTAAGGATGTTTGAAGATAGATGCAGATAAAATAAAAATTCTTGCTCTGATTGTAGATGAACTCTTCTCTAACAATAATAGAAAGTACAGTGAGTAAATGACCTCTTAGAAACATGGAATGGTAACTTTTAATTAAAATTTACTCCCTTTTAAAATAGAGAGCAGTATTCAGTATATAGTAATATAGTGTGTGGAATAACCCCGGATTACCTTTCAAATAAATTTTACAGGAGAGAAACGATTTTGAAAATGACAACTTCTTAAGTAGATCTATATTATTTTTGCTTATGCTAAATTATAGCTAAGAAAACCAAAATCTAATTTAAAGGAATAAATATGCAACAAGTGCTTTGAATATAGACAGTAAGTTTCTTTTTGACTAATTGGTGTCATCTCGTGTACTCCTCTACTGCACCTGTATGACAACCTTCTAGGTGGTGTTATCTAGAGGAGTTTATTTAAATCTTATATCATGGAGAGAGCAAGATGACATTTTGTTGGCACTAAAGGAAAGGTGCAACCATGCTCCTCATATACAGTAGCGTACGCAGGGGGGGAGCAGGGGGAGCGGCCGCTCCCCCTCTGGCCATTTTCAGCAAAGTGGCGCCTTTTTGGAAACTTTTTAAACTCAAAGTTTTAAACAATGATATTTGTAAAAAAAAATATTTTTGGTCGGCACATCTATGTTAATCACAAGATTTCTTTTCATGCAGCAATTAAGCATTATTGTACTAGTCTAGTAGTGTCTACGTTTACAACACGTATTAACAGCTGCATCAGTTTGCCATTCTAAAAATAACCATTACGATGCATTGCAATGTTTAAAAAGCCTCTACGGATAGTACCACTTGGCAAGAGGGGTGTTAAGTTTAAGGCAACTGTATAATGTATTTGCTTACGAATAATTGAATTAGAAAATGTTATACATAAACTTCACACATAATTACTTTATATATACAGTTTAAATCGTCTGATTAATTTTTAAAAAATTACAACATAGAAACAAATACAACTGATGTGGCACCTCTATTTAAATTTACGTATGAGCAAACTGCGTAGTGGTGGGGAAATTTTGACAAGGCCAACAAAGTCATCCCGATGAAGTAGTAGTATTATTACAGTTTGGGCGATAGTGATTACGATAACAAATTATATGAATCAGTTACAACCCCCCTCCCCCATGGACCCCTCTGTAAAAAAATATTGTCATAATACCACTGCTACTTATTTAAATCTATTTCTGTAATATATATTTGTGTAATATATATTTGTGTAATATATATTTGTGTAATATATATGTATGTTTAGAACAGTCATCTAAAAACTGACGCTATGTTCACTCTGAGTTGGTTATCTCCCCCCCCCCCCCCACACCTCACCACCACAATTGTGTAGAGCGACATTAATGTCACATCTAGGTATACACTGGGCTGGGTAATTGACCTAAAGTGACCGGACAGTGGTGAATGAAATTGAACCCCCCCCCCGCTAACCCACCCCTAACTGATCTGTTAAGTACATGTAGAAAAACGCGTAATGATGTACCGAAATACCATGCTGCCAGAAAATTAGCTTTTTAAACTTAAAATTCTGTAAATATTGTTTTTGCAATTACCAGTAAAAAGGTGAATGAGCAATACAGTGATCAAACCCATACCTATCACTAAGTTAAAAAAGGATCTTTAAAGAACACAAAGCAGCAATAGTTTATTAAACATATATGATCTGAACTAAAAAACGGATATTTAGTTAAATGTAGGCTGTTACTCCGAAAGTTTTTCTATACTTTCGAAAAGCGTGGTTTTATACCAACTCTGATTTTAAAAACTTTCATTATGCTATAATACTTTAGCATTTATGATGACGATATATTAAATTCTGATTATAGACAATAAAATTTTGTAAACACGAATAGTGTTAAACATTTTCATTATATTCTAAAGTAATTATTTATTTGTTTTGACATTTATAATTAAATGTGTAGATATATACATATTTATATTAAGAGAGTGATTATTTCCCCTATTTCACTTGTCTTAAATAATTTCCCAGGAATTATTATGTAAGAAATTTTTTTTACAAGAATTACAAAACAGATTGTGTTACGTTCATTGTTTTTGGTTGTAGTGTGTGTATATATTTTATTTTGTTTAGAGTAGATTGATAGAATTTTTGTTTTGTCGGTCTACATTGTGTGTTTTTTTTTTATTTCTTTAGAGTGCTACTTTCAATTTATTTTACATCATAGCGAAGTAATGACATACAGCTAGTAATTATATATATATATATATATATATATATATATATATATATATATATTACACGTATATAGAACGTGTTAAAAATTCGGAGCCTTTTTTTGCTTTTTTCGCTCCCCCTACAACGAAAACCTGGATACGCCTCTGCTCATATATCATACAATTTAATTACCCTTCTGGCTTGATTTAAAACCTCATCAACAATGACCAAAGTTGGCGCCATCCATCACCTCTAATTAAAATCATACAAGTTAATTACCCTTCTGCCTTGATCTAAAATCCTATAAATGTGAGGAAAATTGGTCAGATGTTATAAGTAAAGACAAGCTGGATCTATTAATAAAAAAAATATCAAAGAAAGACCTTGATATTTAAATATTTAATGGTAACAGATAACACGAACTCAAATTTCTATAACAAGAATTCAAATTTTAACAAAATAATTAACAAAAACAGGCCATCCAATTAACAGTGCTGTTCAATGAAACTAAAAGTGTCACACATCTCAAAAAATGTAGAAGGACCAATCTCATTTTTTCTTTGATGGTTAAAACTGTTTCTTTCAGACAACTCTTAGTGCAAAATATTTAACAATTACCACATTTATAAGGCTTTTCTCCTGTATGAAATCTAAGATGGTTTTGTAACACAATACTTCAAAGGAAACATTTACCATATGTATTAAAGTGTGAATTCTATGGTCTGAACACACTTACCAAACATTAGGTTTTTCTCCAGTATGAATTCTAAGGTGTCTCCTAAATTGACCACACTCTCTCAAAAATTTACCACATTTCCTACACATGTAAGGCTTTTCCCCAGTATGAATTCTAATGTGTCTTTGTAATCCATTACTGGCTCTTAAACATTTACCACATTTTTTTTTACACTTGTAAGGCTTTTCTCCTGTATGGATTGTATGGTGGCTCTGTAAATCAAGGAGCTGTGTGAAATATTGACCACAATCATTACACTTGTAAGGCTTTTCTTCTGTATGAGTTTTAAGGTGTATCTGTAATCCATAATGTGCTGGAAAACATTTTCCACACTTGTCACACATGTAAGGTTTTTCTCCTTTGTTTTTAAACAGATATTTTTTTATTTTTTTAAAAACAAAATTGATAACAACAAAAATTTACAAAAGAAACCTCATACATGATCCAACAGAAGAGGCTGTTTTATGTTTGATATATACACAATACAGCATAAAGGATGAAACATTTGAACCATACATGTTGAGATGATGATGAACATTTATACAAATGAAGTTAATGGTGAAATAGATGAACTGATTAGATTCTTTCTTGAGACTCCAACAGTTTAAGACTGTTACTACAAATGACCACCATTCCAATGTTTCTCTTCTCTCCTGATTTTCTTTCTTCAAACATCAACAACAACAAGATTCATAAAAGGGTCAACGCCTCTGATAGTACCTGATACTTTTCTGTTACCATTCAGCTTCAATGTTAAAACCTTTTCCATATACTTTTTCAACTCTGGTGGATGAGCTTTACTCATTTTAGAACTTTTGGGATTTTAATTTGCGAAATATGAGAAAAATAAAAGGTTTTTCTCCTATATGAACTGTATGGTGTATCTTCAATACCCTAAACTCTGTAAAACATTTACCACATTTCTTACACTTATATGTCTTTTCTTCTATATGAATTCTAAGATGTCTCTATAATCCATGAATTTCTGCAAAATATTTACCACATTTATAAAAACCTTATCTAGCTTGAATTTTAAAGTCCTTTTTTAATTGGCAAAGCTTCAAAACACCATTACCAAATTTTTCTAAAGTGGATTGATTTTGTTTATGATGGTCTCTGTAATCTATAACTTGCTGTAACACATTATCCCACTTTAATTTCAAGGTCATTCTGTGATTGGTAAAACTTTTTAAAAAAATGTGCCAAATTTTCCTAGTGTGAAATGGTTTTTTTAAGGTAGTTCTGTAAATGTGAGACCTGTATGAGTTTTAAGGTGTCTTCTTAAGTGGCTACGTTGTCTCAAAAATATACCACATTTCTTACACATGTAAGGTTTTTCTCCTGAATGAATTCTAAAATGGCACTTTAATAAATAACTTTGACTGAAACATTTACCACATTTCTTACACATGTAAGGTTTTTCTCCTGTATGAATTCTGTGATGGCTTATCAAACGTGCATTCTGTTTAAAGGATTTACCACAATTGTTACACATGTAAGGCTTTTCTCCTGTATGAACTCTAAGGTGCCTTGTTAAAATGCAAAGCTGGGTGAAACAATTACCACATTGATCACACATATATGGTTTTTTTCCTGTATGAATTATATTGTGTCTCTTTAAATTAACATAAAGTCTGAAACATTTACCACATTTGTTACACTTATGAGGCTTTTCTCCTGTGTGAACACTAAGGTGTATCTGTAAATCACGAAGCTGTTTGAAACATCTACCACATTTGTCACACTTTTTAAGAGGTCTTTCTATTGTATGAGCTACTTGGTGTTTTTTCAAGGAGCTAACCTTCAAATAACATTTATCACATTTGTCACACTTGTGAGGATTTTCCCCTGTATGAATTACAAGGTGTTTTTGTAAATCACAAAGCAGTGTGAAACTTCTATCACATTTGTCACATTTATAAGGTTTTGTTCTACTATGAATTCTAGAACTGTGTCTCTGTAAATCCCGAAGCTTGTGAAAAAATTTACCACATTTCTCACACATGTAAGGCTTGTCTTCTGTATGAATTATAAAGTGTTTCTTTAAGTGGCTCAGCTTTAAAAAACATTGACCACATTCATCACACTGGTAGGATTTTTGGCTAGTATGACTGCTAAGGTGTATCTTTAAACTTGTCCCTTCTATGAAACTCTTCCCACATTCAGCACACTTGTAAGGCTTTTCTCCTGTATGGATCCTATAGTGTCTCTTAAAATTCCCAACAGTTGTGAAACATTTACCACATTTGTCACACTTGTTAGGCTTTTCTCCTGTATGGATTCTATAGTGTATATTTAAATTGCCAACCATTGTGAAGCTTCTACCACATTTGTTACACTTGTAAGGCTTTTCTCCTGTATGACTTTTAAAGTGTTGCTTTAACTGGACACCATAAATGAAACATTTACCACATTCCATACACTTATACGGCTTTTCTCCTGAATGAGATCTATTGTGTATTATTAAAGAACCACTTTCTTTAAAACACTTACCGCATTTTTCACACTTATAAGGTTTTTCTCCAGTATGAATTCTTTGGTGGATTCGTAAACTAGAACCCTGAGTGAAACATTTACCACATTTGTCACACTTGTAAGGTTTTTCTCCTGTATGAATTCTTAAGTGTCTCTTTAAATTTGAAAATGTTGTAAAACATTTACCACATTTGCCACAATTATAAGGCTTTTCTCTTGTATGAGTTCTAAGATGTTTTCTTAATGTAGCATGGTTCAGAAAACATTTATTACACTGGTCACATTTGTGAAGCTTTTCTTTTATACACATGATATGGTGTTGATAAAAGTTTGATGTCTGGGAAAAAAGTTGACTTGTATTATCAATGGCATCCAGACTCCTATTGACAGCTCTATCTTGACCATGTTTGTATTGCATATGTGCTTTCAAAAAAGAATCTTTTGAAAAAGCCATACTGCAATGTTGACATGGATAGATATCTGTAAAACAATTTTATTTATTTGTTTTCATACAATTTTAAGACATTTTTATAGAATAAAATAGTAACACTGATATCTATTGATACAGCCAACATAGTTATAACTAACTGATAGAGTGGAGACTGGTGACCGATATAGTGGACACAGTAATAACTAACTGATACAGTGGACACAGTGATGACTGATACAGTGGACATGTGACTAACTTATACAACATGAAAATTAACTACATAAATAATAAGAACTAGGAGAAGTATATACTAAATGATATAGCTATTTATTTTATACAAATAATCAATTCTCATAAATGAATTATCTTTCTAAAATCTGGCAATAAATATTTCTTTACTATTACATATTTCAGTGGACACAGTGGTGGCCAACTAATACAGTGGACACTGTGGCTACTATCTGATACAGCGGACAAAGTGATGACTGATACAACAGTGGACATGAAAATCTATTAAGACAGCAATAGGGATTAGGAGATATATGTACTAAACAAAATTGCTAATTACCACCTTCATTATTCTCCATGTTTGTTAAACGATTCTTGCTCACAACTCCAACCCTCCAAGTTCCCAGTTCTCTGGCACAGCTGTCACTATAGTAGGTCAGAATACTGTTCTATACTAGCAATTATAAGAAATATAAAAATAATTAATTTTACTTGGTATTGGATTTTCTCTCCAACCCTTAACAATAAATATTTCTTTAATATTACATATTAAAAAAAAGTTTTTGATAGGAAATATGAGTAATATTGCAGACTTGATAATAAGCATTAAAGAAAAATACAATGGATGCTAGTCTGATGAATTTTTTTTTACTCTTCACTTAAACCTGCACCTTCTTCTTAAGCTAAACTGCTACCGCCAATGAAACTTTTATCAGAATAGAAGCTCGAACTAGATTGAATATCTTTAACCCTAATCATAACTTTAACCTCAACATGAACAATAAAAGAAACACCTAGTCCTAATCTTAACACTAATTGTATTACTGATTCTAATCCCAATATTCTATCGCTTTTTTAAGACAGTAACATATTGCAAGATTATCAAAGTTTTTATTCATGTGAGAGTGCCACATTTCCTTTTTGACTAAACACATAACAACACAACTATCCCTAGCCATTTTATGGGTTCAGATGTTACTTAAGGTCTGCTTTCAGTTGACAGACAATTTATTACCTATTATAGAAACAGAATCTACTTAGCAATTAAAAATACATTAAAAATACATTAAAATAGGAAATAATTTAATTAAAACTGTAGTAAGTCGTGCTACTAAAATATAAACTCTTAATTATTCAACATTTAGTCATTTAGACATTGAATTAACAATTTAACCCTTGAGCTAGATCTAGGAATCAAAAAGGTGTTTGTAATAATGTCATAGATCACTCTTTTTTGTTTTTCTATATAATTTTTTTCCAATTAAATCTGTAGTTCAAATGTATGTATGCTAGAGTCTAGTACAGTAGTAGGCAAAAGTAGTAGAATCTAGTACTTATCCTAAAGACCTAAAAAGTGTAGTTTAGTGTCAACTTGAATGTAGGACTTGCACTAGACTAGAAGAGTCTAGTTACTAGACCTAGAATCTAGACTAGATCTAATACTAGTAGATATACTCGATAAATCTAAAATTCACTCTGTTTTCAATTTAAACATGACCACTGAATAATGCACATCCATATTTTATTCACTAGGTCAGGGGTCTCCAAACTTTCAGCCCGAGAGCCGCATTAACTAGCAAATATTACTTCGGGGGCCAGAGTTTCTTCGAGGCATCTCTTCAGTGATGGTGCCCACTCCCCCCTTTCCCCGAACAACGTCTACCGCACGTCCCCACCCCCAACGAAATATAATTTATATAGAAATATTAAGTGTTGGGGCCGACAACACACTCAAGGTCCAAGTTTGTTCTCAAGTTGTTCTTCACATATTTCAATCCTGAAAATGTTTGTTCACACAAGTGTTCCAAAATTTGAACAGAACTTTGATGCAAAAGTTTTAATATCGGGAAAGTCTTCCTTGTGCAAAAACTTATAAAAACACACATATTTGACAGAAATATATCATAATATACTTCTATTAAAGCCTTAACAATGAGGCAACTTTTTGGTAATCTATCGTTTTAGGTACGTAAAATCGCCCGCAACTAGTAATGTGAAAAACAGGTGACTCCTTAAATTTTAATAATTATTTCACATTTTGATGAGGATTTATGTTTTGAAAAATACAAAAATGTTCCCTTGTTTCATTTATGTACCTGTTTTTAAACAATTGAATTAAAACTTTTCAGTAGTAAATGAAGACTAGCTATGTTTCCAACCGATGCAACCATGCTCATTTACTATAGCAGCCATCTTGTTATTTCTTTTTATTGTAAACTTATAGCGCAAGATTTAGGGGAAGACACTCTAACTTACAGATGGCGCTTTTTATATAGCAAATCCTGCTCGCAAACACTGCTGTTTAAAGATAATTTCTTGCCTATATTGATATATTTAGCCATTGATTTAAGTTTATTATTCATTTATCTATAATATTTGACATAAATATATCACAATATGCTTCTATTAAAGCCTTGACAATGAGTTAACTTTTTTGTACATTACTAGCCGCGGGCGATTTTACGTAGATCTACTTAAAACGATAGATTTAAATAGATTACGGTACCAACTTTTTCCCACATTACTAGCCTCGGCCGATTTTACGCACCTAGAATCTAGGTCCTAGATCTAGATTTAGATCTAGAATCTAATATAAGTCTTTTCTAGGACCTAACGATACTAGGTAACTAGAGAATCTAGATCTATATCTATAGCATGATTACAAATTGTAATTATTACTAGATTTTGAACAGCTCAGAAGCGCGATAACTTTTCAGGACTTGAATTGATGAATGTACCGGAGCCTTTGAAGCTGGATGACCGATTTCGTGAGGTATCGATATTTAAATATAAAATTTTGCATTAAAAAATTTTTTTTAATATATTACATTTCGTTGTCCACCCTTTTGGATTTTCTACCAACATAAATCTTAAATTATCAAATATAAAATATACTGATTGATATTCAAATTAGCATTCGTTAATTAATCGATTATGGGATTTTATAGACTCGATTTCTTTTAAATTTCTTGTTTGCTGAGAGGTAGCCAATTAAGAAGGCAGAAAGTTCGACAAGATGGATTGGATTCCATTTAATAATTGTTGACTTGGATAAAATAACGTTTTGTTTTTAATTGTTTTTTTTTTCGATTTTGCGTCATAGCGACCGAAATAAAAATAACTTTAAAAAAAATCTAAGCTTGAAACAATTTCCGAAAATTAATATTTTTAGAATCGATGTTATAAAAGTTGTAAATGCAGAGTTCTTAAACATGTTTTTGCGAATAAGATTATATTTCTATTTATTTTCATCAAGCATTTATTTCATCATACAAGCAGCGTTTTTAACTTTCGTAAGGTACGCATTAATGGGCTGCAGTAGCGTCGCTAGGTCGGGTGTCACCCGTTGCTGTATCTAAATAATGGTGTCACCCCCCCCCCCACCGAAAAACATCTATATAGGCATATCTATATATATATATATATATATAAACGTGGGGCGCCGTGATTTTCTTACAGTTTCTAATACTGTTGACTCTCTACAAGCTCTCTAATAAAAGTCAATAGTATTATCTAATCAATAGTAATATAACTTTTACTTCGGCGCCCCACGTTTTTCATCGCTTATAGTAGAGTGATCGCTTGCATTATTGTGATGTATAGCAATTATTTTCTACTTTTTAGTTCAATCAGAAAACGTGGGTTTTTAAAACTTTTTTAATGATTATTATATAGCTTATGGTTTCCACTATCAATTTTCGTCTCTCAATTTTTTAAAACTCAATTTATTTTCAATGGATTAACACTTTGATTTTAGCCACATTTCACACAACTCTTAATATGATTAGAAAAATTACACATTAAAGATATCACACATCATAGATAACAAATCAACTACTTAAGCACAAACAAATGTACAACTATTGTTCTTCTGGTGTCAGTCGCCTTCCTTTACACACTTTTACACACAGAAGCATACACACATACATGTAGGCTGTTGTATAATAATTTGCTTAATCGAATTATATAAAGATTTAAAAATTTCCAATGTATTTGGTGTCACCCCCCCCCCCTAATTTTTTGTCGAAAGTCGTCAATGTGTGCAAACATTATATAAATCCATCTAGAAAAAAGAATTTAGGGGCCGAACTCTAACATTTATTAATTCAATTTCAAGTGTAAAAATCATTGTATTTGTAATAACTTATTAAATTTGGTGTCATCCCCACCCCTACCCCACCCCAGACGTGGATTGTTGAGGTATTAGTTATTACAATTCTAAAGAAAATCTTTTTCCTCAGGCAAATTTTGCAACGTTTAGTTGGTGTGTCCCAGTGATAGCTTTAAACTGTCCAAAGATAATAATAACGATGTTCATTTATAGTCGGTTATAAATACAGCTGGATGTAGTATAGTTTTCTATATCTTTAGCAGGTTTACGTCATGGTGTCATGATTTGTCAATTTTGCTCTTAATTAGAAGACTTTCTAACTCTAACTAATCATTTATTTAACTGTGATGATCGTTTTTTTCTATATATATTTTGCTATTTTTGCCTTGATGTCACCCCCCCCCCCCCTTAAATGGTGTCACCCGGTGCGGTCCGCACCCCCCCCCCCTTGCTACGCCTATGATTGGCTGTACAGGAACCCCCCGCAATGTAGTAATTTTGTACTCAAAACTTTGCCGAAAATATATATAAATTGAATAAAAGTATTTGCTTAACCACATGACATATTTCTGACACGTTTGTTACAATTTAAGTGATACAATAAAAAAAAATTGCTTTTCGCTTTTATTTTCTAAATTTATTTACCGAATATATTAAAGATGCCAAATACATCCAAACATCAATAAAGTCAAGCAAGAATACCCCCCCCCCCAATAATTTTTTATAACTACTTTTATTTTAATAACACCGCACACGATTTTAAAAATATTTGATGAACTGTGAGACTATTCATGGCTGCATTCACCGTCTATAGATCTACTAGCCGTGGATACCAGTTTCACATGAATTATGGTCCTATAAATTATAGGCCTTTTAATGTTATACTTGTTTGGACAAAATAATTTATAAAATATTTACTGGTAAAAACGTTGAACGATATTAGTGACAACGCAAAGAAATAACTAAATAGCTAAAAATCCGACATATTTAAAATAATATTGGCTACCAATACCTATTAGAAAAATTAAAACCAATTAAATCTTAAATACATTATTAGTCAACACAACACCATATTATGCACACACTGATCAAGACTTAAATAATTCCGTTAAAAAACCAGGCTGAACCATGGAATTTATGTTGTTTTTTAAAGTAATTTGTATTAGTTTTAGCCCCCCCCCCCCCCCCCCTACACATAGTTGCGTAGAGTTTGTAACGCAATTCACAAAAAAATATATGCATCTGTACAAGATGCTTTTGGAATATTTTCTAGATCAGATGAAAGGCAAGAAAGCGGCAGTTTACCTCCTGATAGTAGTGACATATCAAAGATAAGCAAAATCGTATCTACGGGGCACACTTTACTTAAACACTTTCCCTACGTTTCTAGACTGATCTTAAAAGGGTTGAATTGAGCCTGACAACTCAAGCAATGGCTACATTTGAGAATTAAGATACATCTGTAGTGTGGTTGACGGTCTATAGTCTATTTGCACCAGGAATAACACAAATAGCAGATGTGGATGTACAGGCGCTGAAGTGGACAGACGTTGTGACTAAAAGCTAGGCGCCGATTAGTAAGCCAAGAAGTGGGCTATAGATCTACTTTCAATGAGTTGTTAAAATGTGATATTTAGGGTACATAATGTGACACTTAGTTTCAGTAATGTGTTTACTGTTCTTGTTGCATTTTGCGGTGTGTGTTGCGGGACTATTAGAGTTCACCTGTTCGGTTTTGGATATTAAGTTATTGTTGTGGATAGGCTTTTGATTTCGTGTACTGGGTTGGGATTAATGTTAGTAGACGATGGATGAGATTAGCTTAACTTATTTTTTGTATGTAAAAATTTTGTTTTATTAAACCAAAAGCTCAATTTAGAATTACCAATTGAAAGTGTAATTTATAATTTTTAATTATCACCAGACACTACCACGACGGGTGTTGGGAGATTGCGAGACGCGAAAAGCGAAATGGCGAGGCGGGAAAATGCGAGAAGATAATGCGAGACATACCTGCGGAATTAAGGGTAAATTGCGAGACACTTTTTGGGAAAAAAGTTTTTTTTAATCTTTATTTATTTAAATTATTATTTTTTTTTGTTTTTTTTTGTTTTAAAATAAACAAGCATACCCTTTAACACGAGTGTTGTATGTTGTTATTTTTTATCTAGATTTTATTATATAGATTGATAGAAACTAAGAAGATAGATAGATCTATATCTATGAATTTAAAAATCCTAACATCGTTGCTGTGCTACTGTCATCGCCCGCTCTCGTTAGCGAGAGGAAAACCCGTCTCAGTCGACATTAATTTTAAAAATCTAGCCCGCTAATGTTTAAACAAACGTGAGCTGTGTCATTGTGGATTGGTATAATCTTGTAAGCAGGAGAGATATTCTGCGACATGTATTTATGGATTTTTGTACTTGCAAAAAGTGTAAAAGTATAAACAATTCCAAAAATTGCAAATTTTTTTTATTAAGTAATTTTTATTACAAACAAAATCTTCTGAAACAGTCCTAGCGCTACTCAAACACACCTCGTGAAACCATCTTTCACACATAGTACATCCAACCTTGTGATTATATTTAGACCTAGATCTATATGGTAAAAAAAAGCTAGAAAAAAAATCGTAGGCGGCGGCTATAATACAAAATTTCTATGCAACAATAGAAAATATGTTTGCGGCGACAGCGGATCCGGGCACGGTGATCTTCAAAGACGGTAAATCAGGCGGCCTCGGCGTTCCACACAAAAGACAAGTTGATCTATCGTCGGCGGTATTTCCGTCGGTTTCGAACAAGGTGGTATTCTAAGTCGACACAAAATATGGGGGTGTTGACAAATTATCAGTATATCTAGCGACGGAAAAATAGGAAGTTTTAACAATGTAAACCAAACGTCTTTGAAGTCTGGACCAAATACCGCTGAAAATCGGGTGAGGTAAATTTTTCGCAGAAATCTTCGCATTTCAACACCACCCAGCGTAAGTATCGGGTTGTGGTAAAATGCGAGACAAAAAGTCACGTGACCGACCGTTTTCGCGCCCTTCTAGCATTTTCCCGCCTCGCCATTTCCCCACACCCTACCACGACAGTCTCAGTGGTCAAGGAAATGACCATTTCACAAACATAAAGACATCAAGCTACCAGACCAGACCTAGGCTACCAACGACATGGCATCCTCAGACAATAGAGCATGTGACATAAAATTCTTCAATTTGAATCCTGGGTTCGTGTCAATTGAACGTCTTTGAGTCCACACAGCTCTGATGTTAGAGAAAGTAAAAGTAACTGAGTAAAGTGCTGACCATGCTACCCTTTATATGTACAGGTCACTCAAACATGTGGACTCTACTTCACCTGCCCCATGGACTGTCAGGCTCAAATGGGTACTTAACTTGGCTATACAGCAGCAATCCCTTCACCCCCACTCTGAAACGAACACTTAACAAGATTCTTTATTATCACTTAATTAACAAGATTCTTTAACATTCACATTAAGAAAACATCAGCTATGATTAGCAGACAGTTCATTCACGACATTGTCACTGGCAGAGTCTATTGTTCCTACCCTTTATTATGAACTCATTATACTGCCAAATTATATGTACAGCTAACATTAGTAACATGCTTGCTAATAGATCTACAGCCTTAATTTAAGTAAAGGACATGCTACCCTACTTATGTTAATTTTCTGTTAAATAATAAATCTAGTAGGCCTTGCAGGTCACTTTATGTAGGCTGAAAACAAGCAGGTGGTGACTTATATTTCTTGAATGCAAAGTACTATTTTAAATTTCACTTCTGGCAATTAATTATAGATCTAGTGTTATTTTAAATACTAAGCACTTTATAGTTATTCATGTAAAATTCATGTTACTAAGCATCTTTCAAACAAAGCAGCTCTGGTCAAACCCCCAAAGTGAACAAAGCACCTCTGATTAAAGCATGAAAAAGTTATGTACACATAAATTTTCCAGGACAGAAACAATTTTGAAAATGACAAATTTTTAAGTATATTCTTATTATTTTTTTATACTAAATTATAGCTAAGGAAACCAAAATCTAATTTAAAGGAATAAATATGCAACAAGTGCTTTGAATATAGACAGTAAGTTTCTTTTTGACTAATTGGTGTCATCTCGTGTACTCCTCTACTGCACCTGTATGACAACCTTCTAGGTGGTGTTATCTAGAGGAGTTTATTTAAATCTTATATCATCGAGAAAGCAAGATGACATTTTGTTGGCACTAAAGGAAAGGTGCCACCCATCTCCTCATATATCATACAATTTAATTACCCTTCTGGCTTGTTTTAAAACCTCATCAACAATGACCAAAGTTGGCGCCATCCATCACCTCTAATTAAAATGATACAAGTTAATTACCCTTCTGCCTTGATCTAAAATCCTATAAATGTGATGAAAATTGGTCAGATGTTGTAAGTAAAGACAAGCTGGATCTATTAATAAAAAAAATATCAAAGAAAGACCTTGATATTTAAATATTTAATGGTAACAGATAACACGAACTCAAATTTCTATAACAAGAATTCAAATTTTAACAAAATAATTAACAAAAACAGGCCATCCAATTAACAGTGCTGTTCAATGAAACTAAAAGTGTCACACATCTCAAAAAAATGTAGAAGGACCAATCTCATTTTTTCTTTGATGGTTAAAACTGTTTCTTTCAGACAACTCTTAGTGCAAAATATTTAACAATTACCACATTTGTAAGGCTTTTCTCCTGTATGAATTCTAAGATGGTTTTGTAACACAATACTTCAAAGGAAACATTTACCATATGTATTAAAGTGTGAATTCTATTGTCTGAAACTTTACCACACTTATCAAATATTAAATTTTTCTCCAGTATGAATTCTAAGGTGTCTCCTAAATTGACCACACACTCTCAAAAATTTACCACATTTCCTACACATGTAAGGCTTTTCCCCAGTATGAATTCTAAATTCTAAAGTGTCTTTGTAATCCATTACTCCTTCAAAAACATATACCACATTTTTATTACACATGTAAGCTTTTTCTCCTTTATGGATTTATGTTGGCTCTGTAAATCAGGGAGCTGACAATCATCACACTTGTAAGGCTTTTCTTCTGTATGAGTTTTAAGGTGTATCTGTAATCCATAATGTGCTGGAAAACATTTTCCACACTTGTCACACATGTAAGGTTTTTTTCCCTTTTTTTTAAACAGATATTTTTTAATTTTTAAAAAAGAAATTGGTAACAACAAAAATTTACAAAGAAACCTCTCATACATGATCAAACAGAAGAGGCTGTTTTATGTTAGATATATACACAATACAGCATAAAGGATGAAACATTTGAACCATACATGTTGAGATGATGATGAACATTTATACAAATGAAGTTAATGGTGAAATAGATGAACTGATTAGATTCTTTCTTGAGACTCTAACAGTACAACACTGTTACCATGAATGACCACCATTCCAATGTTTCTCTTTTCTCCTGATTTTGTTTCTTCAATAGCATCATCAACAACAAGATTCATAAAAGGGTCAAAGCCTCTGAGAGTACCTGTTACTTTTCTGTTTCCATTCAGCTTCAATGTTAAAACCTTTTCCATATACTTTTTCAAATGAGCTTTACTCATTTTAGAACTTTTGGGATTTTAATTTGCAAAATATGAGAAAAATAAAAGGTTTTTCTCCTATATGAACTGTATGGTGTATCTTCAAAATCCTAAACTCTGTAAAACATTTACCACATTTCTTACACTTATATGTCTTTTCTTCTATATGAATTCTAAGATGTCTCTGTAATCCATGAATTTCTGCAAAATATTTACCACATTTATCACAGTTAAAAAAAACTGATCTAGCTTGAATTTTAAAGTCCTTTTTTAATTGGCAAAGCTTCAAAACACCATTACCAAATTTTCTAAAGTGGATTGATTTTGTTTATGATGGTCTCTGTAATCTATAACTTGCTGTAACACATTATCACACTTTAATTTCAAGGTCATTCTGTGATTGGTAAAACTTAAAAAAAAAAAGTGCCAAATTTTCCAAGTGTGGAATGGTTTTTTTAAGGTGGTTCTGTAAATGTGAGACCTGTATGAGTTTTAAGGTGTCTTCTTAAGTGGCTACGTTGTCTCAAAAATATACCACATTTCTTACACATGTAAGGTTTTTCTCCTGAATGAATTCTAAAATGGCACTTTAAAAAATAACTTTGACTGAAACATTTACCACATTTCTTACACACGTAAGGTTTTTCTCCTGTATGAATTCTGTGATGGCTTATCAAATGTGCATTCTGTTTAAAGGATTTACCACAACTGTTACACATGTAAGGCTTTTCTCCTGTATGAACTCTAAAGTGCCTCGTTAAAATGCAAAGCTGGGTGAAACAATTACCACAGTGATCACACATATATGGTTTTTTTCCTGTATGAATTATATTGTGTCTCTTTAAATTAACATAAAGTCTGAAACATTTACCACATTTGTTACACTTATGAGGTTTTTCTCCTGTGTGAACACTAAGGTGTATCTGTAAATCACGAAGCTGTTTGAAACATCTACCACATTTGTCACACTTCTTAAGAGGTCTTTCTATTGTATGAGCTACTTGATGTTTTTTCAAGGAGCTAACCTTCAAATAACATTTATCACATTTGTCACACTTGTGAGGATTTTCCCCTGTATGGATTACAAGGTGTTTTTGTAAATCACAAAGCAGTGTGAAACTTCTATCACATTTGTCACATTTATAAGGTTTTGTTCTACTATGAATTCTAGAACTGTGTGTATGTAAATCCTGAAGCTTGTGAAAAAATTTACCACATTTCTCACACATGTAAGGCTTGTCTTCTGTATGAATTATAAAGTGTTTCTTTAAGTGGCTCAGCTTTAAAAAACATTGACCACATTCGTCACACTGGTAGGATTTTTTGATAGTATGACTGCTAAGGTGTATCTTTAAACTTGTCCCTTCTATGAAACTCTTCCCACATTCAGCACACTTGTACGGCTTTTCTCCTGTATGGATTCTATAGTGTCTCTTAAAATTCCCATCCCTTGAGAAACATTTACCACATTTGTCACACTTGTAAGGCTTTTCTCCTGTATGAGTTTTAAAGTGCTGCCTTAACTGGCCATCATCAATGAAACATTTACCACATTTCATACACTTGTATGGCTTTTCTCCTGAATGAGATCTATTGTGTGTTATTAAAGAACCACTTTCTTTAAAACACTTACCACATTTTTCACACTTATAAGGTTTTTCTCCAGTATGAATTCTTTGGTGGATTCGTAAACTAGAATCCTGAGTGAAACATTTACCACATATGTCACACTTGTAAGGTTTTTCTCCAGTATGAATTCTTAAGTGTCTCTTTAAATGTGAAAATGTTGTAAAACATTTACCACATTTGCCACAATTATAAGGCTTTTCTCCTGTATGAGCTCTAAGATGTTTTCTTAATGTAGCATGGTTCAGAAAACATTTACCACAGTTGTCACATTTGTGAGGCTTTTCTTTTATACATATTAAATGGTGTTGATAAAAGTTTGATGCATGGGAAGAAAGTTCACTTGTATTGTCAATGGCATCCAGACTCCTATTGACAACTCTATCTTGACCATGTTTGTATTGCAAATGTGCTTTCAAATAAGAAAGTTTTGAAAAAGCCATACTGCAATGTTGACATGGATAGATATCTGTAAAACAATTTTATTTATTTGTTTTCATACAATTTAAAGACAACTTTATAGAATAAAATAGTAACACTGATATCTGTTGATACAGCCAACATAGTTATAACTAACTCATACAGTGGACACAGTGATGACTAACTAATACAGTGATGACTAATACACTGGACACAGTGATATAGTAGACACATTGATGACTAACTGATACAGTGATGACTAACTTATACAGTGGAAACAGTGAGGGCTGATACAGTTGACATGTGACTGACTTATTCAACAGTGGACATGAAAATCAACTACATCAATAATAAGGACTAGAAGATATATGTACTAAATGAAATTGCTAATTATTTAAATAATTTATTTTACTTGAATTAAATGATTTTTCATCAATGAATTATCTCTCCAAAAATCTAACAACAAATATTTCTTTAACATTACATATTTCAGTGGACACAATGGTGACTAACGGATACAGTTGACACAGTGATGCCTGATTTAGTGGATACATTGGTGATTGATTTAGTGGATACTAACGGATACAGTGTAACAAATGATGATGCTGATACAACAGTGGACATGAACACAAACTACATCACCGATAAGGACTAGGAGATAAATGCACTAAATGAAGTTGCTAATTATCACCTTCATTATTCTCCATGTTTGTTAAACAACTCTTGCTTGTAACTCCAACCCTCTGTATCTTAGTTCCCAGTTCTATGGCACAGCCGTCACCACAGTACACCTGAAAATGTCAGAATACTGTTCTATGCTAGTAGGCCTAATTATAAAAATATAAGATAATTTTCACTTGGTTTTTCATCAATGGATTTTCTCTCCGAATATTTCTTTAATAATACATATTCAGTAATACAAAAATAGTTTTTGATAGCAATTCTGAGTAATATTGCATACTTGATAATTAGTCCTAATCTTAGCACTAATTATATTACTGATTCTAATCCCAATATTCTATCGCTTTTTAATTATTTTGCATTTGCTGCCATTAAATCGATTCACACACTGTTTATTTTACTTTTATTTTTACTTGATTTGTATTTTCCTATTAGATATGATGTTAGAGCATTCTTGTCATTCACATGGAAAGACAGAATAGTGCAGTGGCGTAGCGATGGGGGGGGGGGGGGGGGGTGACAGGGGGTGAGGACCGCACCGGGTGACACAATTTAGGGGGGGTAGACACCAAGGCAAAAAATTGCAAAATATATACATATTGGTCGAGTGCACGATAGGGCACTTCCCAGCGCCATAGGCGCTTCAAATTTGGCAGGCCATAGAATACGGGGGCCGGTACCGGTTGGCCGCAAAGTCCACAAAGAGAGGGTCAAAACAAAAATGACCTTGACTGACCGGCGCCTTATGTGAGTTATGTTACGAAAAAAAAACTTGTGACCCCCCCCACCCATGATATTTGTGTGATAGTAGAAAAACACCTAGGGGTGTCAGAAAAAACTCGCCATATCCGGGAGAATTCTGCAAAGTAGTCAAAACTGACCAGTCATAAACAATTGTTTGTGAAAAAGTAACAAAGACTACATCATTTGGTATATGTACAGGGGAAATAACTTTTTAAAGTAATAATTTTTAAATACTGCTTTTGTTATTCCAAAGAAAAAATAAAAATCACAAAGTTCAGCATTCGTTTAAATGGATTTTTTTTATAAATTAAGTTATGTATTCTAATGAATTTGTAAAATTTAATTGCAAAAGTTAATTTAATATAATATTTGATTTATACTGTTTAGAAAGCCTTTGCAGTATTAAAAACCTTTCGAGTAATAAGTGTGCGAATACTCCTCCAGTGATTGCGTAACATGAAATTACTTTTATAACTTAGGCGACATAACAGCCAATCACCAAATAATTAATAATTCAAATTATCAAAAGTTTTTTGAAAACCTAAGCAAAGCTAGGCAGTATTCCTAGTAAATGTATATACACACATATTTATTCTAGCTGCATCCCGTGCTCCGCCACGGTAAATCTTTTTTAAATGTACCAACTTGGGAACAGAACAAAACTAAACACAACACAAACGAACGCAAAAAAAAAAAAAAACACAAACGAAAAAACAAACACAACACTCATAACATAACCACAATTTAAATGGTGCAATCATAAAGGCATATTGCTCACAGTCTAGCCTGTAGCGCCCAATCGCGCCCTTTCCGAGCGCCGGTGGACGCGTCTGACACAGTTGAATGACTATAAATCAAATGCGTAGCAACCCTTTCCGGCGCCCGGGGACAAACTTTTGATTTGACCCTCCCTCAAACTGACGATTTACACCCCCTCCCCTCAAAATTTCAATTTCCACCCTAACTCCTTTAACTTTCGATTAGCAACCCCCCCCCCCCTCCCCCAGACTTTCGATTTGCACCACTTTTGATTTGAAATTCCCCCCGCTCTAACTTTCGATTTGTACTAAATGCACCCACGCCCTAAAACTTTTGATTTCTGTACACCACCCCCCCCCACCCCACAAATTTTTTCTAACCCACTTTGGCGCCCCCTAAGGTCGGCACCCGGGGACATATGCTACCCCTCGCTACACCTCTCCTATAAAACCCCCAGCTTGTCCGCAAACCGAAAGATAGAATAATAATAAATAATATACAATAAATAATAGGCAATATTTAAAATATCCGTGTTTTACCTACTATATATCACTTTATCAATTCACGCATTTTTTTTCCGGTACTTTAAATTTTAAAAATTTACAATAGAGTTTCATAACTAAAACCATTGCGCACCCAATGAAGCGTCTATAATAGTGCGGAATAGTTAATTCAAAATTATAAGTAGTAAATAAATAAAAGATTACCTTTTATCAAACCATGCTAATTATAATTTTCTAACAATATTTCCTCTTACACATCCGCATAATTTGCATTCACATTTTGCTAATTATATTATTGCAACACTAATTCCTTCTAGGACGCCGTAGATTTGCATTCACATTTTTTTTATCATTTTTCTACCCTACTGTTATTACGTCATTAAAATGTATCCACTTTTTCTAGGAATATAAACGAAAATGATATTTGACATGGATCCTTTTTAATTTTCTTGACGTTATGCCAAAGAGTAAACACAGTGGCTTTTATAAAATAACTTTACATCATTATATAAACACACCCTACTCTATTACCTATAATAAGACATTGTGGTGCACTGAAACACATTGCTTGGTGTGATGTTTACTTTTATGGTTCCAAAAGCTATAGCGATGACAGAAGGAAGAACTGACACACTACAAGCCCGCTTATATTATAGATATAATTTTTTTTACGGGGGTGGGGGTGACACCATTAAGTGCTGCACCAGGTGACACCCAACCTTGCTACGCCACTGGAACAGTGTAAAAATATATTTTCAGTAACACAAAATTTATGCTAGATTTAATATCCGCAGAACAATTAATATTTCATATTTATAATTTGAAAAGTTGTACTATTATTCATTAGTTTAAAATTCAAAACCAGGAAGTCATATTTATTTCAGGTACTACATGAATGAAATTCAATTTATCTAACCTAACATTAAAATAATAGTATTTTGCGAAAATGTATTCATTTGTACCCGACCTTGCTACGCCACTGGAAGTGTAAAAATATACACTTTCAGTAACACAAAATTTATGCTAGATTTAATATCCGCAGAACCATTAATATTTCATATTTATAATTTAAAAAGTTGTACTATTATTCATTAGTTTAAAATTCAAAACCAGGAAGTCATATTTATTTCAGGTACTACATGAATGAAATTCAATTTATCTAACCTAACATTAAAATAATAACAGTATTTTGCGAAAATTTATTCATCTGAGTTTCGAGTGCAAACCCTCTGGCAGATAAGGCCCGATCCCTTCCAACACTAAAAATTAAGAACAAAGAAGAAGACTAATCTGAGAAAGCCACTTTACCTTTTTGACCAAAAATGAAACAACAAAACAATCCCTAGCCATTTAGGAAATAGGGGTCAAGTGGTTTTTAAAATTTAAAAAAAAATTGGTTGTGATTTTGGCGCGGGTCTTATTAAAAAAAAAACAGCTCAAAATATTTTATTTCTTTTTTTCACAGACTGACAAACCTTAAAATGCTTCACATTCGTTCATTTTTGTACCTAGTCCATTTATATTGTAAAAGTTCTATTGACTTTAATGAAACCAACTTTTAAATTTAGCTTTCATTCTTCAAACCGAATTTTCAAATGCTTTATTGGTATACGAGCCGACCCACTGCGTATCATACGCCGCTATTTAGTTGTTTTTTTTTCTACTTTTCAGTCATTTATAATTTGTGAATTCGACAGTACCAATGCTGCCATTGAAAATATTTGCTTAAAAAACACTAACCCCCCCCCCCACATGAAAGCAGCCTCCTCTTAGTTACCTCCTCTAAGTTTAAAATCGTTTCAAACTAGCCGTCAACAAACCCGTCTCTATGATTGTAAAATGTAAACAGAGTGAACACCGCTCACCAGATCATGTGGGGGTGGGGTGGGGGTGGTAGTGATAGTGATAGAGAGGAAGAGAGGGGACTGCAAAGGCGCGCTTGCAGCTTGTTTTCTAACTGATCCCAGAAGAGAATTATATATATAGATATAGCCCTGCCAGAGGCTTCGCGAGGGGAGGGGGGTGCGGACCCCTCCGTGACACTATGGCAAAAAATTGCAAAATATATAAAAGAAATGCGCATTTTGCCAGTTAATTAATCATTAACTTAAGCTAATCCACCTGTATTAACAACTGACTATGGATAAACATTTTTACTATTATCTGTGAACATGTTAAAACTATCACAAAAATTACAGAGGAAAAAAGGTTTTGTTGAATATTTCAAATACCTAGTAAGTCAATCAACTACCGGGGTTGGGGTGACACCAAAATCTAATAATTTACATTGAAAACAATGCTTTTTCTACATGAATTAATAATTGTGTTGATATAAAGTGCGCACAAATTTAAGCCATTAGGCGAAATGGGAGGGGTGACACAAATACAACTATATATACTAATATAGGCATATGCAGACATTAATATATATAATATATATATATATATATATATATATATATATATATATATATATTCTGTGGTGGAGTGGGGGTGACACCATGAGGTGCCGCACAGGGTAACACCAGACCTAGCAATGCCACTGAGCCCTGCCACCTATAGTTTGTTTTTATAACATGAAAATCTGCCAGTTTGCTCAAGGTAAACATTTAAAAAGTAATTTTGAGAAGAAAGTCACTGAAACTAAGACAAAAAAATCATAGAAAGTAAAATATCTGGTGGACGCCATATTGTTGTTAGCAACCATTCCAGCTTCCAGGTTAGCGAGCAATACTAAGATTCCAAGATTAAATATACTACTAGCTAGTATTAGATTAGAATCTAGATTCTAAAAAATTAATTATTCTGGATAAGTTAGACATCTAGATAAAGATAGATAATAATAATAAGATTATCGTTTTAGGTACGTAAAATTGCCCGCGACTTGTAAAGTGAAAAACAGGTGACTCCTTAAATTTTAATAATTATTTCACATTTTGAGGAGGATTTATGTTTTTTAAAATACAAAAATGTTTCCTTGTTTCATTTATGTACTTGTTTTTAAACAATTTAATTAAAACTTTTCCGTAATAAATGAAGACTAGCGATGTTTCCAACAGATGCTACCATGCTCATTTCCTATAGCAGCTATAGCAGCCATCTTGTTTAAGTTTTATTTTTATAAGCTTATAGCGCGAGATTCAGGGGGAAGCCACTCTATTTTACAAATGGCTGCTGTTTATATAGCAAATCTTGCTCTCAGGCACTGCTGTTTAAAGTTAATTTCTGGCCTATATTGATATACTTAGCCATTGATTTAGGTTTTTTATTCATTCATCTATAATATTTGACACAAACATATGACAATACACTTTTATTAAAGCCTTGACAATGAGGTAACGTTTTCGTACATTAATAGCAGCGGGCGATTTTACGTACCCAAAACGATAGATTACCTTGACAATGAGGTAACTTTTTCGTACATTACTACTAGTAATACTAGCCGGGGGCGATTTTACGAAGATCTACCTAAAACGATAGATTACCAATAATAATTAATAGTATTTCTCGCTAACTTGGAGGCGTGGTCGGTTGCTAACAACAATATGGCGCCCGGACCGGACGTTTGATTTCCGGCGATTTTTCGGCCAAATTCCAGAGGCCTTCAACTAATTACATTTAAAAATGTTTACCACGCGCAAAATGGCGGGATTTCCGTGTCATAACAACAAACCATAAGTGGCAGGGTTAGATATGCCAGAAAAGCATTTTAAAATTTGGTTTGGAGAACGGAGGCTAAATTCTAAAGTTGGTTTCATTAAAATTAATAGAATTTAAAAAATATCAACAGTGTAGGTACAGAAATGAGCGAGAACGTAAAGCATTATTAGTTTTATCAGTCTATGAAAAAAGAAATCAAATGTTGTGAGCTGTTTTTTTATAAGACCGGCGTCAGTATCACAACCAATTTATTTTTATTTTTTAAAAACCACATGACCGCTATTTGGTGATCACTAGTGAGGAACTCTTATGCATGGTCACTTTAAAAGTCTAACCTTATTTGTGGTTTTCTTTAGCTTCAAGCTTAAGAAGAGGTGTCATGGAGAGATGTGTTGGACATGGCAGTGATTGACAATAAATATTAAATTAACTAATTTAGTTTAAAACGAACTAAAAACTTCAAAGTTAGTGCCTAATGGATTAAATATGGATGTCTATTATTCAGTGGTCATGTTTAAATTGATAATTGCGTAAATTCTAGATTTAGTGAGAAAAACTAATACTTAATAAAAGTTAATACCAATATAATCTACCTCCCCACCCCTACATGGTTTTAGTGAGCTGTGTTCACTCTAAATGTTTACAAGCAGAGCCAACGATTTTAAACGTAGGGGGGGGGGGGGAGGGGGGTTATGGTCCTTAACGAGCTACTTATAGTGTTTTAAAGAAATATTTTCAGTGTCAGCGTTGGTACTGTCGAATTCACAAATTATGAATTATTGAAAATTAGAAACAACTAAATAGCGGCGTATGTTATGCCGCGGGCCGGCTCGTTGAATATAATACAGATTAGATCATCTTTAATTCCTTAATCTTTTACTTTATAAATATTAAAATTATAACACTTAACAGTAATACTTAACTAAAATTAACACATACAGCAGAACACTTGATGACTCCTTGACTAGATCTAGTCCTTGACGTACACGTGACTTAGCCTTACACAAGAAAAAGAGAGATCACCAAGTGCCAAGCAAGGCAAACAATATATTTTACATTTATTATTCAATATTCAAATTGATTTAGATCAAGGCCATTCAAGGCTAAAACCTCAAATGTGGAGTTTATACTAGATCTAGATTAAGATCTAGATCTATAGCATGAATACAAATTGTAATTATTTACTAGACTAGATCTAGATCTAGATTCTAATTATTGTTGGATTTTGAACAGTTTAGATGATGAACATACCGGAACTTTTGAAAGCTGGATGACCGATTCCATTAGGTATCGATATTTAAAATACAATTTTTCAGCCATTAAAAAAAATATATATATTGATCTACATTTCGTTCTACACCCGTTTGGATTTTCTACCAATATAAATCTTAAATTATCAAGCAGATATAAAATAGATCTATACTGATTAAAATTCAACCTAGCATTTGTTAACTTATCGGTTATGTGATTTTATAGACTCGATTTCTTATGAAAATAACGTTTGCTGAGAGCTAACCAATCAAGAAGACAGCTGAGTTTGACGAGATGGATTGGATTCCTTTTATTATTGTTGATATGGATTAAAAAACGTTTTTTGGTTTTTTTTAGTTTGCGTCATAGCGAACGAAATAAAACGAAATTTAGCTTGAAGCAATTTCCAACAATTAATATTTTTAAAATCGATAAAAGTTGTAGATGCAGAGAAGTTTTGCGAATAAGACTACATTAATTTCTATTGAATATTTTAATCAGTGGTTTCACTTTCGTAAAACATGCATTAATTGGCTGTGCAGAAACTCCCCATTGTTGTATTAATGTTGTACTCAAAACTTTGCCAAAATATATATAAATTAAATAAAAGTATTGGCTTTACCACTTGACATATTTCTGCCATGTTTGTTACATTTTCAGCGATAAAATTTTCTAAAAATTGTTATCACTTTTATTACAAATTTTAGTAAAATAAAACAACAACCCCTAACAATACTGTTTTTATAACAATATTCTAAATAAAAATTTGTTTTAATAGCACTGCACACAATTTTAATAATATTAAATAAACTCTCTGCATTCACCATCTATAGATCCATACCGTAATACCAAATACTCACTCGAATACAATAGACCTTATAATCTTATACGAATACAGTTCAAGAAAAGTTATATTAAACCAAAAGCTTAATTTAGAATTACCTATTAAAAGTGTAATTTATAATTTTTCATTATCAGCAGCCACTACCAGGTCAGTCTCAGTGGTCAAGGAAATGACCATTCCACAAAAATAAAGCTACCAGACCAGACCTAGGCTACCAACGGCATGGCATCCTCTGACAGTAGAGCATATGACAGCTAAAATAAGTCTTGAATTTGATTCCTGAGTTCGTGTCCGTTAACCGTCCCTGTCCACCCAGCTCTGATGAGTGGGCCCTACCTGACTCATAAGAGTAAGTAAAACAAGCTGGGCATTGTATTGACCATTCTTATCACTTCATTTTTACAGGTTTATGAAACAAGTGGACTCCTATAACCGGAAGTGGAACTTTATCTACTTTGAATTTTTCAAAAGCCTATAACTTGACTATTTCATATAGATAAATGACAGTAGAGCATTTGACAGCTAAAATAAGTCTTGAATTCGATTCCTGGGTTCGTGTCTGTTAACCATCCCTGTCCACCAAGCTCTGATGAGTAGGCCCTACCTGACTCATATAAGAGAAAGTAAAAGCAGCTGAGCATAGTACTGACCATTGTTATTCCTTCATTTGTCAATGAAACAAGTGGACTCTACTTCACTAGGACTGTCAGGCAGTTAATTTGGCTATTCAGCAGCAACCCTTTCACTCTCACCTCAAAACAAACACTTGACAAGATGTTTCAACATTCGCAGAAAGAAAACATCAGCTATGATTAGCTTTAAACAGCCTCTTACCGAATAAGATGTACAGTTAACATGCTTGCTAATAGATCTACAGCCTTAATTTAAGAAAAGGACATGCTGCCCTACTTATGTTAATTTTCTGTTAAATAATACATCTAGTAGACCTGTGGCTGAAAACAAGCAGTTGGTGATTTTTATTTCTTGAATGCAAAGAACTTTTTAAAAAAAAATTTTGGCAACTAAAAGGAAACTTGTCATATAAAAATAAAAATTTCAATACTGAGCACTTTTTTGTTACTCATGTGAAAACCACATGTTGACTAAGCATCTATTGCACAAAGCTTCTCTTGTCAAACCCCCCACTTGGAGCAAAGCACCTCTGGTCAAACCCCATTGTGAACAAAGCACCTCTGGTCAAACCCCATAGTGGACAAAGAACCTCTGCATAATTTTCCAGGACAAAACAATTTTGAAAATGACAAATTCTTAAGAAGATCTATATTTTATTTTCTTATAGCTAATGAAACTAAAATCTAATTTAAAAAAAGAAGAAATAAATGTTAAATTTAAAAAATGCTAAACAGATTTTTTAATGCAAAAAGTGTTTTGAATATAGATCTAGGCAGTAAATTTGCATTGATCTAAAACTTCATCAATGTGACAAAATTGGTGAGATATTGTAAATACAGACAAGCTGGGTCTATTAAAAAAAATATCAAAGAAATCCTTGATACTGAAAAATTTTATGTTAAGAGATAACAAGAATTAAAATTTCAATTAAAAGAATTCAAACTTTAACAATAAATAACAAAACAGAACATCCATTAAACAGTGCTGTTCAATAGACAGTAATAGTGTGGCACATCTCAAAGAAATGTCTAAGAACCAATTTCATAATTAGGTTCTTTGATGGTTAAAACAGTTTCTTTCAAACAACTCTTGGTGCAAAACATTCACCAATTACCTCATTCGAAAGGCTTTTCTCATTTATGAATTCTAAGGTAGTTTTGTAAAGTAAAACTTGGAATAATAAAAAAAAAAAGGTTTGTTTGAAACTTAAAACACTTGTCAAACATTAGGTGTTTCTCCTGTATGAAGAACATTTACCAAATTTCCTACACATGTAAGGATGTGAATTCTAAGGTGGTTCTGTAAAGTAGTACTTTGAAAGAAAAATTTAACCACTTATAAGACTTTTCTCCTGTGTGAATTTTAAGGTGGTTCTGTAAAATAGTACTTTAAAAGATACATTTAATAAAGCTTTTCTCAAGTGTGAATTGTATGGTGGTTCTGTAATGTACCCTTTGAAAGTACCATTTACCACTGATAAGGCTTTTCTCAAGTGTGAATTGTATGGTGTTGTCTGTTAAAAACCTGTACTGCACTGGTCACACCTAGGTGAATTCTATGATGTCTCTTCAAGTGACCAAGCCTTGAAAAACAGTTACCACATGTCTTACACATGTAAGGCTTTTCTCCTATATGAATCCTAAAGTGTTGCTGTAATCCATTACTCACTCTAAAACATTTACCACATGTCTTACACATGTAAGGCTTTTCTCCTGTATGAACTCTGTGATGGCTTTTCAAATGTGTGATCTGTTTGAAGCTTTTACCACAGTTATCACACACGTAGGGCTTTTCTCCTGTATGAACTCTAAGGTGCCTCTTTAAAATACCAAGCTGGGTGAAACAATTACCACACTGATCACACATATATGGTTTTTTCCTGTATGAATTATATTGTGTATCTTTAAGCTAACATAAAAGTCTGAAACATTTACCACATTTGTGACACTTAAGCATTCTTTCTCTTGTATGAACTACTTGATGTTTTTTCAAGGAGCTACCCTTCAAATAACATTTATCACACTTGTGAGGATTTTCCCCTGTATGGATTACAAGGTGTTTTTGTACATCACAAAGCAGTGTGAAACTTCTATCACATTTGTCGCATTTATAAGGTTTTGTTCTACTATGAATTCTAGAACTGTGTCTCTGTAAATCCCGAAGCTTGTGAAAAAATTTACCACATTTCTCACACATGTAAGGCTTGTCTTCTGTATGAATTATAAAGTGTTTCTTTAAGTGGCTCAGCTATAAAAAACATTGACCACATTCATCACACTGGTAGGATTTTTTGCTAGTATGAATGCTAAGGTGTCTTTAAACTTTTCCTGTCTATGAAACTCTTCCCACATTCAGTACACTTGTACGGCTTATCTCATGTATGGATTCTATAGTGTCTCTTAAAATTCCCATCCCTTGAGAAACATTTACCACATTTGTCACACTTGTAAGGCTTTTCTCCTGTATGAGTTTTAAAGTGTTGCCTTAAATTGCTATCAACAATGAAACATTTACCACATTTCATACACTTATACGGCTTTTCTCCTGAATGAGATCTATTGTGTGTTATTAAAGAACCACTTTCTTTAAAACACTTACCACATTTTTCACACTTATAAGGTTTTTCTCCAGTATGAATTCTTTGGTGGATTTGTAAACTAGCATCCTGAGTGTAACATTTACCACATTTGTCACACTTGTAAGGTTTTTTTCCTGTATGAATTCTTAAGTGTCTCTTTAAATGTGAAACCGTTGTAAAACATTTACCACAATAGCCACAATAATAAGGCTTCTCTCCTGTATGAGCTCTAAGATGTTTTGTTAATGAGGCATGGTTCATGAAACATTTACCACAGTTTTCACATTTGTGAGGCTTTTCTTTCATACACATGATATGGTGTTGAAAGTTTGATACCTGGGAAGAGAGTTGACTTGTATTATCAGTGGCATCCAGACTCCTATTGACAGCTGTATCTTGACCATGTCTGTATTGCAAATGTGCTTTCAAATAAGAAACTTTTGAAAAAGCCATACTGCAATGTTGACATGGATAGATATCTGTAAAACAATTTTATTTGTTTTCATACAATTTTAAGACAACTTTATAGAATAAAATAGTAACACTGTTATCTGTTGATACAGCCAACATAGTTATAACTGCTGCTGTGGACACAGTGATGACTAATACACTGGACACAATAGTGATTGATATAGTAGACACATCGATGACTAACTGATACAAGTGATGATTAACTTATACAGTGGAAACAGTGAGAGCTGATACAGTTGACAGGTGACTTACTTATTCAACAGTGGACATGAAAATCAACGACATCAATAGTAAGAACTAAGAGATACATGTACTAAATGAAATTGCTAATTATGTAAATAATTTGATTTACTTGAATTAAATGGTTTTTCATCAATGTATTATCTCTCAAAAAATCTAACAACAAATATTTCTTTAACATTACATATTTCAGTGGACACAATGGTGACTAATGGATACAGGGGACACAGTGATGCCTGATTTAGTGGACACATTGATAACTGATTTAGTAGGTACTAATGGAAAAAGTGTAACAAATGATGATGCTGATACAACAGTGGACATGAACACCATCTACATCAGCAATAAGGACTAGGAGATAAATGTACTAAAGGAAGTTGCTAATTACCACCTTCATTATTCTCCATGTTTGTTAAACAACTCTTGCTTGTAACTCCAACCCTCTGTATCTTAGTTCCCAGTTCTATGGCACAGCTGTCACCACAGTACACCTGAAAATGTCAGAATACTGTTCTATACTAGTAGGCCTAATTATAAAAAATATAAAATAATTAATTTCACTTGGTTTTTTACTTTGTGTAGAAAAACAAGTTATTAAAAAGTCTAGTGACAATTTAAGCGCAATTTCCTTATGTTATCCATAACAATTTTAAATCACGTGGAAAAAAACGAGCGACGCGTAGCTCGCCTCTCTCTCTCTCTCTCACCGCGCGCAGTGACGCAAACGATCCCACGTCGCGATAGGCTAGCCTCCCGTATCAGTCCAAAAAAAAAAAATTCCTTTCAAACCTCAGCTCATTCGCTATGGTAAAATCCTTTCGAACCTCCGCTTTGCGCTAAAAACCTACACGACGCTCAGTTTAAATGTTCTTAATTAATTTTTTGTGACCGAACGAAAGGATATTTTTGAAAACTTTCTTCAGCAATATTGGTCTAAATTATGGCAGGAATCGATTGGTAAATGTTTCAAGTCGCTAAGTGGTCTGGTTGCGAGATATGGAGCAAAAACTGCATTTTTTCGAGTTTTTTTTGGCTTTTCCAGGAAATCCAGGAAGGAATTCCGGGAATTTTTTTGTCCCACAATCATCCTCGGAACTTGCTTAACATATTTGCTTTTGGAACTAGTCATTGCTTCATTGAGGAGGAGATACGACTTAAAGCTGCAGACACACATCCATCCATCCATCCAGAAATAAAGAATAATCGCAATTGCCAGTATGGAAATTGCGCTAAAAAAATTACTTTTTAAGCCACATAACAAGGGTAAATAAATACTAGATGAGTTTCTGTCTGCTGGCTGTCATCTACACATTAACTCTACAACTCCATGTGTTAAAAGTAACAAAACAACTGAGAGATTCCACTCAACATATTTTACAAGCATTTTAGTCAAGTGAAATCTTATCAGGGTATTACTTGCATTCCTAGGGCAAGTGTTTAGTATTTTTCAAATTAACAAACTTTACACTAATACTAGTTCAAAATTTAATTATCTAATCCCAGCGAGTATAGGCTACTACGCAATTTATTTTACTAAGATTATTTATTAGTAAAATGCAAATATTTTAAGTGGTTTACAACTTTCTTTTGTTGACAACTGGGCAAGATCTCTTATGATAGGCCTAAATACCTGTTTTTATCTTGTGTATCTTGACACTGACTACTCATTTCTAATTCAACCTAAATTTTTAAATGGTTGATGCAGTAGTCATTGAGAGAAGGAAAAAACTAGAGGATTTTTTGCAGTGTCAGATAATAGATTCTTCTTAAATAAGGAATGTTAGGTTACTGGCAGTTAACTGAAATACACACATGGATTGCTAATAATGTCAATGCTAACCCTACCATTCGCCACCAAGTCTAGATCTAGAGTCTACATCTAGATTTTAGGGTTCAAGTCTAAGCCTTTCTAGATCTAATTATTACTCCTGCCACTGTTACTGTTGGGCCCAATTTAGAACTCTAGATATCGTATTATATATATTATATATTTAATATATTGCATTTTCGAGAGTAAAGCATTGATACTAGTATTACAGTTAGTATTACTACTAGAGAGATCTATTCTAGACTCTAGTTATAGACTAAGTTATAGTAGATCTAAGACTCTAAGTGCAGAGCAAATGGAAAGATTAGTAACATGCAGATATAGATCTACAGTAGATCTCGATTTTATATTGAAAATATAGATAAGCGGTAAAATCTTAGTTTAGCGTCGTAAATTCCAACGTAGCTAGTAATGTGCGATGAAGGTAACTAATGAATATTTCTTTCATTTGGCCATATTTATGTCATATTTTACATAATATAACAGATAATTGAATAAAAAATCACAATCCAAGACCAAACCAGTCATAAATATCCTGGAATTAACTTTAAACTACCCCGTTCGAGACAACAATGAGTAAATACAAGCAGCGGCCATGTTTTAAAAACAATAAATTGTCTATTCGCATGTCTTTTGTGTTGATTTTATGGTTTAATATGATTGTTTTGTATTGTTTTAATATATGCCTGGGGGTCGTCCATAAATGACGTCCCACTCGTAGGGGGGAGGGGGGTCCGTAATTTTGTCACGTTGGGGGAGGGGGGGGGGGTTCAGACGGTGCGACGTCGCACTTTTGCATTTTAAAAAAGCAATGTTAGAAAACGAATTTTAGACGTTATTCTGCGTTTTAGAAAACTGTTTTAATACATTGTAATACATTGTAATAACAATTGATTAAAATACTCTATTTTGACAGAGTTCAGACAAGATTTTGGAAAAATACAGCTGTTTAAAAACAATTCAACTGCAATTTTGAGGGGGGGGGTTGTAGGCTGAGGTGTGACGTCATTTTAGGGGGGGGGGGCTCTGGCTTTTTGTGACGACGTGTGACGGGGGGGGGGGGGGTAAAAATCGTCAAAAAAAGCGTGACGTCATTGGATGACCCCCCTGTATAGTAATTTTTCTTTTTTTTAATATAGTTGACATTAATGACTAATAAACCTTTTCAGACTTAATAGTGTGCATCCAAGACCATAACAATTGTTGGGAGGTCGAACTTTTGAACACTTTATTTGCAGTAAGCAAATCAATATTAGATCGCTTATAAATGACGTCGCTCTTAAGATAGTAATGACAGCGTGCATTATTACAGAGCAAACATATGAACATATTGTTTCAGATAGAAATTGTGATTTGTGGTGGGGAGAGGTTGAGTAGAACTCAGCGATGTGATTTTAGAGACGGGTCAGGTTGTTGTTTTTTTCGTGAAAACGGGATGGTTGTGGGAGAAAGACCAGCTGTAGAAGTATGACGCGTCTTTCATTGGTGATCCATTTTCTCAGTGGGGACGATAGAACTATTAAGAAGGGTCAAGAAATGTAAAAAGCATGCTGAGTCGCATTTCTCGAACCCCACCTTTTCATTCCCCCACTTAGCACATCGTCACCGAGTTAACGCTCACACGTGACGTCATGTACCGGTACCGCCGACCGTTAGGCAAATTTTGTAGAAAAGAAAAAAACAACAAGAACTGCCTTTTTGACGCTTTTGCGACGTTTAATTTGATTACATAAGTTGGTGTTCATTAAACAGCCCCTAACATACAGAGTTTCTTCCAGGCATCTCTTCGGGGGGGGGGGGGGGGGGGGCTTTGCCCACCCGAAAAATTTTTACCGCCCCCCGAACGAGATGAAATTTATATAATTTATATAGAAAATATATACTTTTAACAGTGTCCGCCCCCCCCCCCCCGAAGAAAGCCTACCGTCCCCCCCCCCCCGTCCCCCCCCGGAGAAAAAAGTCTGGAAGAAACACTGCTAACACATCTATCACTCGTCCATTTAAACGTACGTAGTTATTTCTGCAAGCTTGCTGTCTTGAGACTTTCGGCCCTTTAAAAATGTATTAAGCTCACACCGTATAGAACTAGACTACCCATATTAAGCTCCAAAAGAAGCTTGGTGAAAACAGGATGGCCGTCCGATTTTGTAGCTGCTCCGCGCTTTATAAAAAGCACAATAAACGATAAGATGACACTTATATTAAAGTAAATTATAGTTCTGAATCTTGATACATTAAAAGTGATATTCGGAAATTATGAGCCAGACAGTCAACATGATATTTCAATTTAAGTCCAAGAAAATAAATTTCCTCAAACGATGGAACATAACTAAATTTTTGCGCAGTTTAGCGAAATTGAATTTAAGTATTTACGTCATCTTACAAAGCGCGATAGCCTACTGGTGCTCTAACGCGGCCCATGCTAATGGCCGTATTCCTAACGCCCCGCATTAGACGCGGCTTAATTCGTCAGCAGGCATTTGGTGGCAAGCCTTTTTGACGGGGATAATGTGTTAAGTTAAGGCCGTTTTGCCAAATGTCTTAAACTAGCAGGCTTGCAACATTTATGATAATTCGTTTTAAGCAAGGTATACGTATACTAATGCTTATTTATCGTTATTTTGGTTGAACAAAGCATTATAGAGGTTCTCCATCAACCACATAGGTATTTTTCCCCGTTCACCTCCTTTTATGAGACCGACACGTCATAAATTGCAAAGCCACCTGAGTTGACGTCACAAATCTTCACTCACTCCCGTAGCAAATCATATGTGACATCATTTATGGACAACCCCATATCACTCACTTGGGTACTTGATATTGACAATTTGACAACAAAGGATAACCAAAATCTGTCTGGCAGGTGGAGACTTGCGATCTACCATAATGACAACACGCACTTAAGGGGTGGAGTGGCTGATTATTTTAGATGATGTTTTACGAGGGAAGCTGGTGGATAATACATTTTGTCTCTCTGTATATATAAATGATGACAAACATTTATTGTTGTCAAAATTATGGCTAGAGATCTTAGATAAGGCAGAGCGAAGCGTAATTTTTTACATTAGGGGTCATCCATAAATGACGTCACGCTTTTTTGACGATTTTTACCTCCCCCCCCCCCTCCCCTCCGTCACACGTCGTCAGAAAAAGCCAGACCCCCCCCCCCCTAAAATGACGTCACACCTCAACCTACAACCCCCCTCAAAATTGCAGTTGAATTTTTTTTAAACATCGATATTTTTCCAAAATCTTGTCTAAACTATTACAATTTATTAAAACTTTTTTCTTTTTTTATAATGCAAAAATGTGACGTCGCAACATCTGAACCCCCCCCCCCTCCCCCTCCCCCTCATCACACATCGTCACAAAATTACTGACCCCCCCCCCCCTCCCCCTACGAGTGTGACGTCATTTATGGATGCCCCCTTATGACTTGTTGTGACATTGACAACAAAAATATGACGGAGGTTGGGGTTTAATTAAGGTAAAGAGAAGTAAAAAAAAAAAATGTCATAAGTTACGATAGAATCACTAGATCTAACTGATGGAAAGAAAAACCTGAAATGAAAATAGTAAACATTCAAACAATAAGAAAAAACTCAAACTATATAGTAATAGTAAGATCAAATAAACATTAGTAAAAAAAAAACGTGATTTAAAACATGGATACAAGTTGCCTCTCACAATGCTTCTAGAATTAATAAAGTTGTTTCTTAGGACATTCAGTTTTTAAAGAGCAGAATTTTAAAAAATGCTTTGTTATACGGACTATACAACAAGACAATCATATTTAAATACATTTTCATACGAATAGAAATGAAAGGGAAGCTACTCTAAATAACATTTTCTTAAGATGGCTGCTGTTTTTAATAGTAAATTTACTATCTCGAACAGGGTTGATAAAAATTAATTTCAGGATATTTAAATTGATTTAACCATAAATGGTGATCTATTATTCAATTATTTATAATATTTTATCAAAATATACGAAAATATACTCATATTTAATGACATATTCATTATTGCACTCTCTCCTACATTACTAGTTTTGGCCGAATTTACGACGCTAAACTAAGATTTTACCGATAAGCTGTTGACGGAAATATTTCCTTGTCTGTGGACAGCCATTGTTAGTTATTAATATTATTATTTTAGCAAAGAGGATTACATTTACCAGTCTAGCTTGGAGAAGGATGTAGCCAGTTCGAAACTCACGAATTTCATTGGCTAACTTAGGTCACATGGTACAAAAAAAGTGACTATTTGGCACATTTCATGGCGCTTTAATGGTAATTTATAACAAAAAAATATATTATTTCAATTACCAACAAGATAATAGTATGATTTATGTCGTTATTAACATGCTTGGGTTCATCCCATGCTTGAATCAACATAGACCCACCAAAACATGAAATTTTGGTGTAACAACACTATGCCCAGAGATAAGTGATCGACCGTATAGAGTCCTTTCATATGACGTCACGTCCGTTCGTGATACCTACGCCCGCCGCCACAGTGGTGTACATCAGACGTAAACACAATCAGCTGTTCGCCAGCGCTGGACATGTTCACCAACGCTGGACGCGTTCACTGTATGTAAAGAACCGCACCCGCGGAAAAGGAAAAATACGTTAAAAAACTTGAACTCTTAGGAATTGAAGATCCTTATACTGTTATTGACAGTTTCGTATAAATAAATATGTGGACAAAATTTCTAAATAAAAATACTGTTAGTAATACTGTTTGCGTTTAGAGTTAAAGTAGCCGAATCTGATCAAATGCAGTTCTCGATACTTTGTTTCAGGTAAGGACAGTAAAATAATAAACTTCATTTTAATTATAAAAGATAACTATTAATAATTAATAAAACAAATATGCTCGACCTTCACAAATACTAATATATAGTAAAAGACAAAGTCAAAAGTAATAGGCTAATAAGAATAATAAGATCTAATAGTAGGCCTAATACCTGGCTCCGCTGGGTAGACATAGAATCTAGAATCTACTTCTTTACTTAAATTTAATTACTTTAGATCTACATTCGATTCAAAATACACCCATAATAAATCACAAGTAGTCATAATAGGCCTAATAAAGCATTTAATTGTCTCTAAGATCTAAAATCTCGCTCTATTAGTATTATCTAATCATTTTTTTAGCAAACGAAATTTTCTGAAATTGAAATAGATTATATGACTAGACTTAGATCTAGAATCTGCTACTTAAATTAAATTGTAAAAACTTTATACAAGCATGTAGTTGATATTATTGTAGTAGAAGGCTTTAATAAATTACTAAGGCCTAACTACTTTGTTGTCTTTTTACAGCAATATGTATCTGATACTGGACTGAGTTTAATTAAATTCAAATTCATATCTAGTAATTGGTCTACTAAGTTTTTGTAGCCTAGTAGTACAATCTAGATCATACCAGCCAACAACAAATAACCACATTATTATTATTTGGTTAATGATTAGGCTAATTTTTTTTTTAAATCCACTGTTTATAAAAGAAACAAATCAAGCTAGAAACATTATAAGTGAGATGGTTTAGAATAATAACAATGGACCCAGTCTACAATTGATACAATTGCAGGTCTACATAGGGCCTACAGTCTAGTAGTTTACAGTAGGCACCTAGTGTGTAGCTAGTATACTAGTGTGTAGCTGTCCAGAGTTAAGATTCTTAATGCCTTAATGCTTTCCCCTGATAAGCCGTGTGTGCTATAAATGACATAACATGACACCGAGGTGAGAAGCGTTGAGGGGAGAGCAGTGGGACTTTCCCTTTTGTTCTCCCTGCTGGGCCCTGAGGGTCAAAATTATATAAGAAATACTATCTCTGTGGGGCTGGGTATCACGGAGGTGAGACATTTTCAGGGGAGGGCAGGGCAGACTCCTCTTTGGTTTTATTGTGGGCTAGATACAGGTGGGGGCAGCCATCGTGAGGGTTGAACGTCAGTATTAATGTGTCTGATCACTTCCCTGCTGGATTATAAGGGTCTTAAATTGTATAACATGCTACCCAGATTGGTTATTCCATGGATTATATTAGCCGTTGTAGTGTGGGTTTTGTAGGAGTTAAGTGGTCTCACGTTTGCTACAGTAGATAACCTCTAATATATTACTGCATTTGATCAGATTCGTCTACTTAAACTCTAAACGCAAACGGTATTACTAACAGTATTTTTATTTAGAAATTTCGGCCACATATTTATATTATCCACGAAACTGTCAATAACTGTATAAGGATCTTCAATTCCTAAGAGTTCAAGTTTTTTAACGTATTTTTCCTTTTCCGCGGTCGCGATTCTTTACATGCGGTGAACACGTCCAGCTCTGGTGAACACGTCCAGCGCTGGCGAACAGCTGATTGTGTTTACGTCTGATGTACACCACTGTGGCGGCGGGCGTAGGTATCACGTGATTTAGGTCACGTGTTTGCAAGGACTCTATTAGTATTACACAGAATGTACAACACTACTTGCACAAAACTTATTGGCTAAATCTGTCACGTGATGCAAATAATAAACCTAGGCTTAGGCTAGGATCGCAGATTAGCCTATTCCAGACTATTTATATTCAAACTAGATCTAGATTCTAGACCTAACTAACACAAGTCTAGACAAAGCTTATAGAATCTAATTTCAACAAACGTCTTTTGCTATTTTTAAATACTTAAAAATCTGTTTGGATAACTTAGTCCATGTTGTAGACAAACTACAGATAGGCCTAGGGGCCTACTTACTATTACTTTGCCGCTCAGTGTGCAGAATTACAAAATAAGCCCGTGGGAGAAAGTAAAAAAAATCTTTTTTTTTTTTTTTTACTTTCTCGTATATACGAAGTATAGAGAAAGTATTGTAATCGTGCACCTCCCCGAGTCGGAAAAACATAATTTTGCAATATTGTCCGTATGTCTGTATGTGTGTGTCTGTGTGTAAACACGATTACTTGAGTACCGTTACAGCTAGGTTGATGAAATTTCATTTATAAGTATTTTATAAAAATCGTAGATCCGTATCAACTTTTGAGCGATTTCCTATAACCGGAAGTGGAACTTTTTCTACTTTGAATTTTTCAAAAGCCTATAACTTGACTAATATTTCATGTGTTTATATATATATATATATATATATATATATATATATATATATATATATATATATATATATATATATATATATATATATATATATATATATTGTTACGATCCCAAGTGATCTTTACCTGGGTTTGGTCCCATCGAGGAGGGCCAGGTAATTAAAATGAAATGCTTAGGCATGTTAATGCACTGGCCAGCATAGGCCGTGAGAGTCTGGGGGTTTTGATGGCCACACCGGATTGGATTCCACGCTGTGGGCGGTGCATACCTGGTGTCTTGGGGGACTCGGCTATTAACGTGGCCAAAAGCCCATAAATTACTAGGTGACACCACGGTCTGACCGTTGATGCTTGACCTAGGCTAGTGACGGTCCGTGTTTTACGGCTGGGAAAACCTTCCAGACCGAGGGGACCGTCATGGACGGATATGACCTAGGGTCAGGCCTTAATTAAAATCGTTCCCACGGTGTAGAGCGGGGGACGAGTACTTTAGGAGGGTAGACCGGGGAAACAACACACTCGGGACACTCTCGAGACACACTCGGGACACTCTCGAGACACACTCGGGACACACACTCGGAGACGGACGGACTTGTCTCGGATAGCTAGGTTTAGAGGAGACAGACATGGGTCGTCTCTGTGAGCTAGTGGAAAGCCACGACATGTACTAGACCTAGGCTAGGCTTGACAGTTAGGGACAAGTAGGGCAGTCGAATTAAGGACTTTAGTTGTTGTAGTTAGTTGTGTATATTTCTGATTGTTGTACTTTGGTGGCGGTTACGTTAGGTGTTGTATTTTGTGGCGAATAAATAGAGATAACTGAAGTTGGCTTTTTTTATTTTTATTTTCCTCTTCTTGTTTATGATCCCCTGACTAGTTCGAAAGGATTAGAGAAGGGGGTACGTAACAATTGGTGGCTAGCGTCCGGAATTGAATAGACAACGAGGCCATAGTTGAATAGTTTCTTTTGATGCCATGTTCAGTTGGGGGCTCACGAGCTTGTGTTTTAGTTTTAAGTTTTATGAGTAGTGAGAGTAAAGTTGTTCACGGAATCAGGAGAGTTTTCCAAACATTGAGTAAGTAGCGAGCTTATCACCTTTGTATTGACACTGAGTTTATTATGCTGTTTTTATGTTGGTCCAGTAGAGCTGGAATTTTTATTTTTATTCAGTATAGCTGGAGGGTTTGATGCCCAGTATACTTGAATGTTTTTTTTGTGGTCCAGTGGAACTGGAGTGTTCGGGTTTATTCAGTACAGCTGGAGGGTCATTCCCAGGTACGTGAATAAATTCGTAATTTTTGTTTGGTTTGCTCAGTATAGCTGGAGGGTCAATTCCCAGTATACGTGAGTAAATCGTTTGTGATCCAGTGTAGCTGGATATTTAGTTTGGTTGGCCCAGTATAGCTGGTGTCTACCCGTTTTAAGTGTCAAAGGTGATAGCCGTACTGGTAATGTTTAAGTTGTTTGTTGTGAGCCACATTTTTAGTAGTTAACCGCCACCATTTAGCTGGATAAGTTCCGTAAGTGTGAATCATGGACGTAATGAGTTTTGTTGAGGGTCCAACTCTAGAAGTTTTAGACAGGTTTTGTCGCTTAGAGTTGTTGTGTCTAGTTGAGGAGCTAGGACTAGAGGTTGATGTCTCGGATAGAGATAGAGTTCTACGAGATCATATTGTTGTTGAGTTGGTAAACACAGGTAGATTAGAGGAGGAGTTTCTAGACTCTATAGAATATTATGAGATAGGACGTATTAGGGTTGAAGAAATTGAGAGGAAGTATCAAGCTAAGTTGTTAGAGATCGCGAGAGAAAAAGAGGATAAGTTGTTAGAGATCAGGAGGGATTTATTTATGTCAGAAGCTCGTAAAGAAATTGAGATTGAAAGCTTAGAGAAACTGAGTGGACTTGAAGTTGTACGATTAGAGAGTAAGAGGGAACTAGATTTACTTAGGCTATGGGAGGAGGCGCAGCTTAGTGGGTTGTTTGACTTTCCAGAATCTGTCTCTGTTTTCTCTCAGGCTAGTGTAGTAGTTTCCGAGGATCGGTATAGAGATGAAGATAGTTTGTTGTCTGATAGAGTAGGTAGTGAGTTTTGTCAGTCTCAGACTAAGGCTGCCACTAGCTTTGGCTCAGTCCCCGAAGTCGACTCTAACCTAGCAGAATCAGCACAAACGTCAAAACGTGCTGATAGTTTACGAGTCGAGAGTTGTGTGCCGACAAGTACTGAAGGCATTCAGCAAGTTATTGGTTTAGATAAAATCACGGCGACTACTCGGATGTTGACCAGTCATGAAAAGGGGCAGTCAATATCTGACCCAGTGGATACAACCACCGATGATATCACGGCGACCACTCTGATATTGGCCAGTCATGAAAAGGGGCTGTCAATATCTGACCTAGTGGATACAACCACCGCTGAAATCACGGTAACCACCGAGAGAGTGAATACCCATGAGAACAGGCTGTCCTCGTCTGAACCTGAACCAGTAACTGTATCTGATCACGACCTTACTACTTGTCATCTTGAAGGTGCCATGACCTTAACTGGAGGTCATGTGAATGGTGAACCACACCTTCGGTTAGACTAGTCAACGAATCTTTTGCCAGCATCAGTAACGGACAAAATCGTTACCCATTGTCTTGGAGGTGAGCCTAACACGGGCTGTCCTCCCATTATCATAGCAGTGTTTGATTTCTCCCCGACCAAGTCCAGCAACATGGAGGCCATGACCTCACCTGGAGGTCACGTGGATGGTGTTCTACATCCCGAGTTCGAGGAGACAATGAATCTATTGTCAGGCTTCCTTCCCCTTATCTCGGAGCTGATTTATTGTTCTTTGACCGACCCGGGGAAGACCGGTAATGTGACCTCAGCGGGTCACACTTCTCCCGTCAAC